TTCAAAGGACTTGGGAACCAGCAGTTAGCGTAATGGCTATGTCGCTGGACTCCCACGTAGTCGACCGCGGTTCGCGTCTCGGACCCGGTGGCTTAAATCTCACGCCGGGCGCGTGTGCGTGCGTGCCCAAGATCCCGAGAGGAGAATGGAGGAGAAGGGATTGCGGCGTGACCATCCCCCCTGGGGGGTGATTTCTCGCTTTCTGTCTCTATGTCTCTGTCTGTCTGGTGAGCGCACACGCCCTATAGCGAAAACCTCTCCAAAAAAAAAAAAGGACTTTCTGTAATATGGGACAGAGAAATAGAGCGGTAGGTGAAAAAGCACATAAAGTATTGGTCTCTATTTGATTTCTAATTTAAATTGGTACTAAAGCCTATCAACAAACCTAATATAAATTAATTTTGCTAGCTACAGACGTTTTGGGGAATAGTAATCACTGTGGACAAATTGTGTCTCCGAGGTTCTTGAATCCTGCATTGTCTAACCAGACTTTGCTGCCCTAATTCAAGTTTGCCTTTTACAGACCTGTTGTATGTGCTGTTGTGCTCTGACAGACACTTCTCATATCCGTTTGGTAGGAAAGACAGTATCCTGGAAGGAACAGGAAATCTGTCCCTTATAGTAGAACTCTGAGTAGATGTCATCTGAGTGTACTGTGTTTCATAAATTCTTCCCTCCCCTTTGGTCCCTCTGGTATTGTGACCTGCCTCAGGCGACAGTGCTTTCCTATAGCTGCCAGATTGGTGGTCTTCCCTTTGCCTCTACAGTGTTGTTTGTGAGGACTTTGGCCAAGTCCACTAGTCTCCAATTGTCCACTGGTGAAAAGCCTGCTTTTCACTTATTTCCTCAAGGCACCTCAAACTGTCACTCTCTCATGCCCATGAGTGGACACCTGTGCACTACTGTGAGCCACTTTTAGTCAAAAGTGTTCTCCAGAACTGGGAAGAGTGGCTTAAAAAAAAATGCAAGGAAGAGGAAACAAGCAGGTTGGTGTATGCCATTGAAATAGAAAAGCCTTGCGGTTCGTGTCCCGGACCTGGTGGCTTAAAACTCACTCCAGGCGCGTGTGCATGCGTGTCCAAGATCCCGAGAGGAGAATGGAGGAGAAGGGATTGCGGTGTGACCATCCCCCTGGGGGGTGATTTCTCGCTTTCTGTCTCTCTTTCTCTCTCTGTCTGGTGAGCGCACGTGCCCTATAGCAAAAACCTCCCCCAAAAAAAGGAAAAAAAAAAAAAAAAAGAAAAGCCAAAAATAGCTGTAATCACAGACTGACTAGAGAAGACAGTTGTATCCAGTTTTTTTTTGGTTTTATTTATTTATTTATCTGAGGACTTTTTTGCTATAGGGTGCTTGCAGTTATCAGAGAGACAGAAAGTGAGAAATCACCCCCAAGGGGTGATGGCCCTGCCACAATCTGTTCTCTTCCATTGTCTTCTCAGAATTTTGGGCACATGTCCACGCGCCCGAATGCGTTTTAAGTTACCAGATCTGGGACATGAAGCACAGTGGACTACATGGGAGCAGTGATGTAACCATTACGCCCTCTGCTGGTCCCAACAGTTGTATCCCGTTTATACCATACTTGACCTGTTTGTAAGGGGAGATACATGTGTGTGCATGTATAAAGATATAAACATTTATATGCCCATGTACAGATATTCATAAGTACCTATGCATGTCTATCTTCCAGTAAAAAGTAGTATAATTAACTTCTTATACATAAAAATATCTGAAGCAAACTATGCTGTCATAAAACTATGCTACCCAAGGCATGGCCAACTCAGGTTTGTGCATACAGTCAGTGATGTTATTTAAGTAAGTTATATTTTTTTCATATTTAACTTCCCCATCAATGAATTTTTTTAGATGTTTTTAGGATTGTAAATTATTGAAGGAGCTCAATCTTGCTAAATACTAATCATATCTTAATATTTTCCTATGAAGTTAGGAGCTTTTCCATTTTATTTTGGTATGATATCTAGAGTTTTGAAGAGAAAGAAACAAATAAGAACTATGTAGAAATCAAAAGCAATGAGATACCAATTTTTTTTTCTTTCTCTGAAAGAAGCTGACTGAGGGACAGGTGAAAGTTAAACACCATATTCCTCATTTCAAAAGGGAGTGTAAGAGACCAGCAGTTAGCGTAATGGCTATATCACTGAACTCCCACGTAGTTGACCGCGGTTCGCGTTCTGGACCCGGTGGCTTAAAACATGCAAGGCACGTGTGCGTGCATGCCCAAGATCCCGAGAGGAGAATGGAAGAGAAGGGACTGTGGCATGACCATCCTCCCTGGGGGGTGATTTCTCGCTTTCTGTCTCTCTGTCTCTCTCTGTCTGTCTTCCAGTGCCCACCCCCTATAGCGAAAACCCCTCAAAAAAAAAAAAAGGAAGTGTAAGAAATATACTTTTTTTAATAAACACAAAGAATTTCTAATGGGCATTTAAGTGAAATGATAAGAATTTTATTTTATTTTTTATATGCACCATAGGGTGCATATGCTCAACAGAGAGAGGAAAAGTGAGAAATCCCCAGTGGGGTTGGCCACACAGCAGTCGCTTCTCCTCCATCTCCTCTGAGGAATTCTGGGCACACATATACACATGCCCAGTGTGTTTCTCAAGCTGTTCGGTCTGGGACTCAAAGAACAGACTTGGTCACCTAGAGGAGGCACGGTGGACTGAATTATGTAGCAGTGAATTAAATGCCTTTGTAGATTGACTTCTGGATCACAGTCGGAAATGACTGTACACAACCAGACGTCATGTTCCCTCTGTGGAAGGCTTCCTGTGCTCAAGGCTCTGAGGCCTGCTTAGTGTCCCCTCAACTACATTCCGTAACTTTCAAGTTTGTGCATCTTTCCTAATCAAATTCAAATTAAATTAAACATCATTAGCATCTCAAGTAGGCTCAGACATATTTCAATGTCTTTAGAGATAAATATTATGCTTACATTATAGTCACATACCTAACACTGGAAACCTCCACGATTCCCAGTTTAACGTATAGTAATTATAAGACTCTTTGATTTTTCTAATTTGTAGATCTTGTTTGATTAATTAAGATTTCCTTGATATTAATAAATAAGAGTGAAAATATGTAATTGAATTCTGGTTTATTGGTCTTTTGCTTTCAGTGTTTACTGTGAACTCATGGAAATCCTCATTTTTAGAAACCCAATGAGCTTCTTATAAATAAACCTTGATTTTTTTGTTATAACCAAAAACATAGGAAATAGATTTTAATGAATGCAGATTGTTATAATTCTTAAGAAAATATAAAAATGAATTTTCAAGATAATATAAAAGTATCTCTCTAATTTTTCTGTTTGTTCATTTTGCAGGCCATAGGTTCCAGGCTTGCTGTAATTACCCAAAATTTGGCAAATCTTGGGACAGGAATTATTATATCCTTAGTCTATGGTTGGCAGTTAACACTTTTACTCTTGGCAATTGTACCCATCATTGCAATAGCAGGAGTTATTGAAATGAAAATGTTGTCTGGACAAGCACGCAAAGATAAGCAAGAACTCGAAGGTGCTGGGAAGGTGAGTCTGACTAAGGATAATGGCTTACCTAGCAAATTAAAAACTAGACCCAGTGTTGTTTGTTACTCCCTACTCCTTACTATGTTCTAAGGATGTCTTTACAACCATTCCCCAAAGCAGTCTTTGCCCCTACCCGCGGGACAGTCGAACAGGTTTCCTGAGGGAAGGAGTGAGAGACGGGATGAACGGCGCTCTGTCACAGCATGGAGACGACGCAGTGTCTCTTTAGGGTTGTCTCTTTATTGTGGGCAGCACGGAGACGACACAGTGTCACAGCTCAGGGTCATCTGGAGATGACGCAGTGTCACAGCTCAGGGTCGTCCGGAGACAATGCGGTGTCGCAGCTCAGGGTTGTCTGGAGATGATGCGGTATCACGACTCTTCAGGGTCTTCAGGGTCATCTGGTGATTATGGGCCAGGGATTGTGGTTATATACATGTTGGTGGGCCATGATTGGTTGAATGAATGATAGTAAAAGGTGGGTTATGATTGGTTGCTTTGTGGACCAATCATGAGGTGCCGGATATACAAATCTGAGGGATTCTAAGCTTACTGATTTGCTATGGGAAGTGACCAATCAGAGTATGGTTTTGAAGGTGAGGTTTTTTTTGAAGGGGAGCCAATTGTAGCCTTTGTAATTGTTGGCTCTCTGAGCCTAAGATGGCAATAGTAAGAGACTCATGAAAATGGCCTCTCGGACTAGCTAATGTGCAGTTTCCCACAATCTTTTCTGACACTTATTCAGCAGATTAGAAATGAGAAAAGTAGCAAAATCAATCTTTAGGTTGCGAGACTGACAGCTAATTTTAGTGGTCTTTTCTAGTGTCAGGCAATGGCTGGTGTCTTCACATGTTTTCTTCCTTCTGCTTTCTTCCTTCCCCCGATTTATTTTTTCTTTCCTTTCTCCCTCTTCCCCTCCCGCCACAACCCCTCTCTTTCAAACAAATTTAAATCTGCTCCTATGTAGAAGAAAGCAGGCCTGTTTTATCACACCATAGGGGAGATTCAATATGCAAAAGAGCTGGGTTATCTATTCAGTTTAAATGATTAGCAGACCTTTCTTTCTGTACTGCCTTCTCTTTTTACCGCATGTCCGTTTATCCTTGCCCTCACACTTTTTTTGTCGTTTTCTGCATGCTTATTTTTTTCCTACTAGTATTTAACAGATGCTTATGTGGCATTTACTGTGTTTCCTAGCAAACGCTTTCCTCCTTAGAGTGATCTAAGTTCTCTTATCTCATTTTTCAGGTGAGGCTGAGGCCCAGGCAGGCAGTGCCTGTGTGCTTTAGAGCTGATTATTCAAACCACTGTGTTCCAAAGCTGTAGCTCTGTCTGTTCAAAAAACAAAGTGGTGATCTGATGGTGGGACAGCCTGACATTGCATGATCTGCATCACTGCAGAAATGAGAGGCTAGAACAGGGCTGACGCCTAAAACCGGGCCTAACGATCACAGTGCTGATACATCTCCCTGTGGAAGATTCGAGGTTCTCAGGAGTTAGAGAGGGACCCTGGCTCTTGGTAGGCCCAGATGTCTAAGGTCCTTTGTCCCTGCACCAGGCACCTCACCAAGACGAACGACAAAGAAGGTCCCAGTCATCACCACTATCGCTGTTTTATACCTCCCTGCTGTCCTTCGGACTCTTCACCCTATTTTCTTGGAATTCCTTCAAAAGTATCATTTGGATCAGCTTTAGTGTTCTTCAGCCAGGACTTGTGTGGGCAAACCTCATGTTTGAGGCCCCTTTTGGAGGTACAGCAGGATGGTGCTGACCCTTAGGTGCAGGTCCTGCTATTTACCATGTCGCTATTTAATGAAGTGTTTGAAATGTTCCACAAAGGAGTCTTACTTATACCAAAAAGACAATTGGTCCTTGGAATAAGACAGTCAGTTCTGAGCTAATGCATTGGAAACTACACGTTAGCACCTTCGAAGGGGTGCATCAGAATTGACTTTGGGGGTTCTTTCAGGGAGGTGAGGAAAGGGGTGCAAATAGAAATGGATATGTGTGAATATAGCACATGTTCAGAGTTGAGGTCAGGGATGTGATAAATGCTCTAAATCAGTGGTGGCACATGAGAGGGGCAAAGGCAGGTAGTAGGAAAAGTGGTGGTTGCTGGACTAGCCAATTTATGTAATATTCAAAATCAGACACCATCTGATTGTAATGACCAGGTTGCCATTGATTATGCATTTATTATATACCAGGTATCAAGAACTCTATATATGTTATCTTTTTTTTTTTTAAGAGAGATTTTTGCTATAAGGCGTGTGTGCTTGCCAGAGAGAAAGAAAAGAGGAAATCACTCCCCACCCATGGGGATGGCCACATTGCAATCCCTTCTCCTCCATTCTCTCAAGATTTTGGGCACACACTCACATGCCCCAGTGTGAGTCTTAAGCCACTGGGTCCAAGACTTGAACTGCAGTTGACTGTGTGGGAGTCCAGCGACATAACCATTACGCATCTGCTGGTCCCTATATACATAATCTTATTTAATCCTCTCAGTATTCTGTTGAATTATCCTGTAGGACAGATGATAAAACCCAAGATTCAGAGGCCATGGAACTTGCCCAAAGTCACATTGTGTCTCCTAACTGATCTCCCTGCTTCTATTCTTATCTACTGATAGTCCATATCCTTCTCACAGAAGCCACTCATATCTCTTATAAATCAAATGCTGCTGCTTCCTACTTAAAAGGCCCCAGTTGCTCTGGTTACAACTGGAATAAAAGCCAGCCTTTTACCCAGGCTTATAAAAGTCAACATATCTAGCCCTCGATGATTTTTATGACCTTGTCTTTCACTACCCTCTTGCACGCTCACTCTGTTCTGGCCTCATGGTTCTTCCTGAAGTTTCTAGAACTCTCCAAGCTGGTTCCCTCTGATTTTCCATGGCAGGCTCCTTTCCAATACTTACCAATATATCCCAGAATTATTACCTCTTTGGAAAGGCTTTTCCTGCACCCAAATTAACTTATGACACTCCTCAGCAATGGTGTTTCTTTCCTGTTTCTTTTTATTTTTTTATTTTTTTTTAAT